TTGTGGGAGTGGGGGCCCTGCAAGGTCACCTTTGCCCCTGCCCTGCCCACTATTCAGTCAAGGTGTTTGTGAGGCCTTGCCCCAGGCCAGACCAGGCCTCCACCTCCAGGAAGGTGTAGCAACCTACAAGTCACAGCTCTCCCACTGGCCAGCCTGGGCTGCCTCCTGATAGCCCCGGGCCAGGACACAGCAGGGACAGACAGGAGGCCCAGGCCTGCAGCCTCACCAGCTCCCAGCCATCTCGCTGGGCCTCACTTGGTCAAGGCCTCGGTTGAGGTAGGTGAGGCAGGTGAGAGGGGCAGTACACAAGCTAAGGGAGGTGAGGGCATGAGCTGTGGGCTTGGGCTGAGCAAGGACCACCACTTGTGGCTGGAAGAGTCAGGGGCTCCACAGAGCCAGAGCAGTGCCAGCGGCACACAGGCACTCTGACCAACTCCGTGACACCATTCAGGGGCACCGTCGTGAACGCACACCGGTGTGGGGTGTGCAGACCCCGGGGACCTGGCCCTGGACTGATGTTGAGGCAGGCCCTGCTCTTCCTGGTAGTCTTCGCAGGCTGTGAGCTCTCCAGGGCCCTCCCAGTCACGCTCACCCCCTGGCTGTGTCTCAGGACTGCCCAGGGCCCAGGTCAGGCAGCTGCCCTGTCGAACCCCTCTCCTGGCACCAGCTGCAGAGCTGGGCCTGCGGACTCACTCCCACCCCGAGTTGCAGAGTTGGGCTTGGGGACTCACCCCCACCGACTTGCATGTCCCTCTGTGAACTGAACGGCCTTCAGTGCTCAGGACTTCCAGGTAAAGGAGGGGAGTTCAGAGTCAGGACACCCTGAATTTCAGGGCAGGAAAGGCCTCGGGGTGGCTGGTCTGGGTTCCCACATGGAGCACTGCCTGTCCACACACCAGGTGGAAGCTGAGATCGCAAGCCCCAGAGCCCCACATCTCCCAACACCCCATGGAACCTCTGCACACGAGGCTCTGGGCTCCAGCAACCACCAGCAGGACCCTCTGGGGATCCTTCCTTCTGTCCTGCAGGCAGGCTGTCAGGGACCCTGCCCAGTGCCTCCTGGCAGGCACACCTCCCTCTCCCTCCTTTAGAAAATTCCAAAACAGGGATGTGCATCAGGGGGTTGCACCCTGGAAGAGCTGTGACCCTGCTGGACCCTCCCTGCAGGAAGGCAAAATGCCACGTGAACGCAGGAGCGGACAGCAAGGGCCAGACGGCGCATGTGGTGGTCTCTGTGGGGCCCGTCCCAGTGAAGCAGCACACTCGGCTGGCTCAGGCTTTACTTGTCCAGACAGGGGCAGAAGACGGGCTATCACAGGATGGGGTCCTGCCCAGGCAGGGCCTCTGCTCGGCGCCAGGCTCCTGGGGGCCTCTGGGACAATCACCCACCCCAGTCAATACTGCATGGCTGACAGCACGTGAGAGCTAGGGCACGGCCACTACCCACGGGGGGGGCCTCATGGCTACCCCAGGTGCTGTCTGCAGTGCCGACGGGCCTGCTGATGGTCACTCCCCACCGGCGTCCTTCCGCACCACCGCGGGCTGCGACAGTGTGGACTGCTGAAGCTGGTCCAGGAGTTCGTGCACACAGGCCTCAAACAGGGGAACGGGGTCCTAGAGAGAGGGCCACGGCAGAGCGGTGAGCACAGCACCAGGCACTGGATGCCCACTGGGTAAACGCCCAGGCAAACTGGGCCCAGAGAGTGCCTGGGCCCCTAGGGCTGGCCACACTCCGCTCCCCAGCCTGGAAGGCAGGGCCCTCCATGAGACAAAGGCCCCCCCTTGGTGACGTAGCTGTCACCCAGCTTCCCTGGAGTTTGCTGACCAGGAAGAACGGGGCTGACAGCTGCCACACCACGGTGGGCGGCCCCACTAGAGCAGACCCTGAGGGGAAGGGGGAAGCAAGGGAGCCAGCAGTGGCAAGGGGCCTTGGGGTCCAGGAGGGTGGCTCCTCACTTCTCCAGGTGGGCAGGCCCTCACGCACTCTCCCCAGGGCAGCACACCTGCCCCACGCTGTCCAGCCCCAAGGCTGGCACTGCACACGCCCACCTTCTCCTCCAGAAGCCTCTGCTTCTCCACAGCCTCCTCCAGCGTCAGGCCGACCCACTCAGCCTCTGCCTCCGGCATGATGAATTCCTGGACCAGAGGGGAGCAGTGAGGCCAAGGGCCAGCACAGGCCAGACAGCAGGCCACAGGCTGGACCTCCAACCTTGTACTTGTCATAGATGGCTGCCCTCCGCCTGGGGTTATCCGGGTGCAGCTGCGGGTCTCGGCGGGCAAGTCTCAGCAGCATCCCTCGCTTCAGGTCCATCCCAAACTTGGAGCACAGGTCCGCCTTGGGGGTCTGCAGGGGGTTCAGATGAGGCCAGGTGCTGACAGCAGGGCCTCACCCACCCATGGGCCAGGTCACGGCAGTCCTAGCACTCAGGCCTGGAGGTGCCCGGGCCAGAGGGAAGCCACACGTACAGGAGGAGGCGGCTGTGCCCACCAGGCCCCGGGGACAAGCACCGTGG